TGGGCCAGTATGAAATAGATAATGATGGTGGGGACGAATGAGCTCATAACACCGTGAATCAGGACTAGTTTTGATTAACAGATATAAAATTTTGAACTTGGTAAATTAGCATATGATGAGAGTTATATTTGGAATCCCTTCTCTGTATGGTGTCACAAAGGAACTCATCAACACCATAAGTAGGAACTATAGTTTTGGATTTCCATTACTGTATGGTGAATGGTGATTTGGAAATAAAACTTTGTATGACTTATACACCCATGGAAATTATACTTTGTATGAAGTAAACACACAAACTCATCAACAGGGGGGGTGCAGATATAAACTGGAATGGCCCAATGATATATCTTCACAGTTAGTCATGATATCCTTCCTTTTTATAAAATATGGTTAAAACCTGAGGTACACTATTATCCCATCAGTTTCCTAAAGCTTATAAAATAAGCATATTGATTTCAGAATACAAACTAGTTCAGTTATTTTTAATATGTGCCCCACCAAAAAACTAACACGGTATATACCAGACAGTGAGTGAGTGTGCATCAAATCATAAACAGACAGCGAGTTACTGCATTACTCATGTTACTGCATTAAGATAGTTGAACAGGTGCCACAATGAAACAGCTGTCCAACTGTTCTTTATCACATTTGTTCTTGCTTAAAATTTGAACCCATTTGCTTCACCAGATTTTTGTATATTTTGTAAGTTTTTATCCGATACCTATTCAAAATTGTTACAAACAAGTTGTACTTACTTGAGTGCCTCTTTTCAGGGTTATTTTCGCTTTGACGGAACACTGGTTATTTATCAATTTCACTAATGCTGGATCACTGTCAAGTGCATTAAAAATGCGAGTCTCACCTGAGAAATCAATAACATGGGAAGATATAAAAATTTATTATTTGACACTAAAAGATTTGGAACACATGTGACATCCAGATATGAAAACCACTACGTTGTCTTTTTATGCAAACATGTGTGACTGTTTGACTAACAAAACGAATTGGCAGCAAACAAAAAATTCTACTGCTCCCAAAACAAGTAATTTTATGCCCCAAAACAAGTAATTTCATGCCCCAAAACAAGTAATTTCATGCCCCAAAACAAGTAATTTCATGCCCCAAAACAAGTAATTTCATGCCCCAAAACAAGTAATTTCATGCCCCAAAACAAGTAATTTCATGCCCCAAAACAAGTAATTTCATGCCCCAAAACAAGTAATTTCATGCCCCAAAACAAGCATCAAAACACTTCTAAGTAGTAGTGCCTTAACTCAAATGGCAATCAGTTAATAATGATAGACTAATGGTTTTCATATAAATGAAATTAACAGAAGAATCGTCATACATTGTATAACAGCCATAATTGCCTAATTGTTTCAAAAAAATAAGATGTAATATTTGCAGTTTTCTCATCAATGATCATAACAAATTATACACAAAAATTACTGCATTCAAGATAAAAAGCAAAAGATGGAGATATTACCTGATAGTTTCTCTAATTGCACTACATTAATTTGTTCCACATCTTCTTTATGTGTGCACAGTCTTGTTGCTAGGATACCAGCTGTTTCTATCTTATTGCTGTTGGTTGATACAAGCTTCTCACACATTTCTTTTGGACATCTAAAGACAAATTTTAAATGTTAATCAGGAACCCATTGGTACACCACAAAACAGCAAATAATCTCTTCGACAATTTATGATATTTACATGGAATTTTGTTGTTGTTATTCCTCAACAGGCAAAGACTTGCAGTCTCAGCTCTTGTATAGATTGAATTGAAAGACAGGAGTATGGCAGACAAAAATCCACTAAATCCAATGAAAACTTGTTTCTGGTTTCTTACCTTCCAATTCGTATGTGCTGTAGTATGTTAATAAATTCTATGTCTGTCTGTCTTCTGACCTCTGTTAGTTCAAAGGTCATCTGAATACAGTTGTGCCAAGCTGAAGACTACAAATTAAAATAACAGACTAGAGTAAGAAATATACACTACAAAACATGACAATAAAAAAAAATATTTACTCAAGCTGGGCTGCTGTGCCTCAGTTAATGTTTTCACTGCAACATTTACTCAAAGTGTAAAATGAATATGAAGGTGGTGCTTAGATAGATGAAATTTACCTGAAAACAAAATAGTCTCTTTTGACCCGACTTTGTGACTGGTGGTAGTTGTAAAAAATCTCCACACAATATTAGTTGAATGCCCCCAAATGGCAGGTCTTTACCACGGATCACCCTGGCTACATGCTATATAAAAAGGAAATGAAATTCATTTCAGAATGAAACATCATTTCTTCATAAGTCATGTATTGAATCAAATTGTAAATTCATTTAAAACAAATGGTGTGATTACCAAGTTTATTTTACAATCCTGAGGGTGAATTACGTGCTGCAACACAAAAATACTATGATAATACTCAGCAAAGTGTAATGAACTGAATGTTGCTCTAAATATTTTAAAAATAAATTAAACTTTTTTTTAAATACCTCTATTTTGGTGAAAAAATCAGCATCTAACATGGATACTTCATCTACAATTAAATGTTTACACCTTTTCCATTGTTTTGTTCTGGCTGGTCTTGAAGCCAACTCTATGCAAGTTTCTAATGACTGTGTCCCAGAACCAATACCTAAAACAAAATAATCAATTATAAAACTTATTAAGTTCCAAAGAAAATTGTCAAAGGAATCTTTATACAAGTGCATATACGAGAGTTGTATGTTCAGCAGCAGATGTCATTTATATTAAATTGTTGTATGTATCAGATCACCACATCAAAGACAGAAATATTGACAAATAAACTTGGCGAGCATGCTACACTTTTTCAAGAAGAGTATGAAGTAATTGAAGTTCTGACAGCAAATTATTACCTGCAAATTGATGTAATGTTATTCCATTAATATGACAGGCAGCAACACCAGTACTAGCGGTGGCAAACGT